TGGATCTGGGGAAGAGAGTCTAATACCTGATTTGTGCACTGTACAGGTAGAGGAAATAATTTCCAAACAAGGAAGCTGTCTGCTGAAAGAGGGTGTTCACTGTTAGTAATGAAAAACAGATTAGGAAGGCATTATTTACACCCGATAAATCAGAAATGGCATCAAAGAGAGCTCGTATTACAAACTATTAATGAAAGACATAATAATGAAACAAATCACATAATAGATCACAACAAAGTGTTTCGATGTGATGAATACTGATACTAAGTAAATGAACTGAGCACTCTGGGGATACAATTTCAAATCCATTCCAACGTGCATGGTAGCAGTGTAAGCAAAACCAGCACTTTTAGAAGAAATTGACTGTATTATATTGCTCAGTCAGATCACATCCACATCATATACTATCTCTCCACTTTGATGATGTATAGAGAAAAATGAAATTGTTTGCCAGGACCCATTTTTTTGTGTGTGTCAAAGTAACCAAAATCTCATCTCCCATGCCTACATAACTTATTTCAGAGTAGTGTGAGAAAACAAACATTAAATATATTAAAATGACAGTCAGACAATGTTTTATCAGCATGGATTAGAAAATCATTTAATTCTTGTAATTATAGAAAGACATACAGTAATAACTTCTGGTACAGAACATGAAGGAGAAACAGGAACCTACTCTAAAATTCAGAATTTCATACAATTTTTAAAGTTAAGAAGTACTAAAAGCAAGGCTTTTGATTAAATAGAGGGATGCCCTACATCTTTTATGCAGTATTTCTATTCTAATGACACATATGAAACTTCTGCTGGTGTGCAACTCATCATTTCATTTCAGATTCATCTGTATCCTTGACACTTCTTAGGTCAACTCCTGCAATTTCAAAGCTGACCAAGTCAAATATCTGTATAGTTATAGGACATTTGTGAATTTACAGCTAAATATGTTTCTGCATTTTCTCAAAGATTTTTATTTTATTTTATTTTATTTTATTTTATTTTATTTTATTTTATTTTATTTTATTTTATTTTATTTCTTTAAAGTAAATGAAATCACACATCCAGCAACAGAAAGACAGCTGGATACTTAAGAATGGGATCTACAAAAGTCAGCAAGCTGAGCAGGAAATAGCCTTGCAATATTATAAAAAGGCTATTGCAATATTACTCATGACAGATGATGGAAATTTTTGGGGGGAGTCTCTAAAGAGACCTGTCGAATCTAAAGGGTCTTAGTTGTGGCTCCAGATGGAGCATATTCTTACACAAGATTTATTACGAAAAGTCAGTGGGAAGGTTACAGGCATAGAGTAAGCCCATGAGCACAAATTCTATGTCTCTTTGGGCTATATACCTAGACCCATAGAAAAAGGAAGTAACCTAGTGAGGCTGAAGAGTTTTGTACTTTTTTTGGAAAATATCTTGAGAAAATGCACATTTTAATACATTTTGAAAATGAAACAGATTTATCAGCTTAATAAATATTGACTGATTTGACCCAAGAACTAATGATAACTTACCCACAAATTATTACTGAAACAAAAATGTTTATGATACTGCATACATCTACTCACAAATGCTGACATGAAGTCTACAGAGTAAATACTACAGATTTAAATTTCTGTTTTCTAAATTTCAGTCATGCAAAGTTGCTGAGCATCTCTAATTGAATTGGGATGCTGTGCTCATATTGGACATGTTTAATTTAGCGTGATGTCTTTAATGCACCATTTTGACATTCCTTCACAATAATTACAATACCCTCAACATTTTAAAATAAAAGTAAATCAAATCAGTATAAATCTAGAGAAGCAACATATTCAGAAAGAATCAGCAAACAAGCAGCTATGGATAAAGTTTCACTACAGTGCGGCCATCACCTTCATCTTCAGCCAGCCACCTTGAGAGAAAAACATAAAAACCTGTCATGGGTACAGCATGGATGATACATAATAATCAGAAAAGTATGAAGGGCCTGATTCTGCAATTTTGATTTCTAGGAGAGTTTTAATATTGACTTATTCAGGAACAGTAACCAGACTGAAAAAAAAATCCTAGAAAAGATTTTCCTTTTCCCAGAAAGGAAGTCCATTCTGTGTTTGCAAGTTATTATCCCTAAACTCCATTCCAGGGATTGGTTACATCTCATGACTCCTTGATGGCCAATAAGATGGCCAGAGTCATGTAGTGGGCCCAACCCTTCTTCCATAGGGGGTTGGAAGGCAACCCTTCTTGTTTATGGAGGTTTTACCATTTACTACATGAAAAATAGACCTAATTCCAAAGCTAACATTTTGTGATGATGACAACCAGCACTATAGAGGCAATGGCATTCATTTCCAATGAGATTTAATGACCTCTAGCACTTTTGCAAGGCTTGTGAGAGGCTACCTGATGCAACGAACCAGGTACTCTCTGGAGAGTTGTCTCCCAAAGATTGAGCCCAGGAGAAATTCCCAGCTGGCGCAGAGTTACTATAACTAAGATCTGAATTTGCACCAAGGGAGATACGGGCTGATGCCTGTTGTTTCAGGCTGAAACACAGCTAATCCTGGCTGATAAAATAGCCCAAAGAAGAGCCAGAGCCATTGAGTGCAATGTCTATGTAAGACTATAAGCTTTTTAGTAGGCTACTAGAGGATGCCAACCTCCTGACAGACTTCTTGGTGATGAACATCTTTTAGAATTAGTATTTTAACTTTATTTATTTATTTTTTTATTAACCAACCAGATAAGACTCTCTCTATCTCTCCTTTTTTCTTTTTTCTTTTTTTTTTTTTTTTTTTAAATGAGAGAACGAACTCATTCCCCATTTATTCAGTAGGCTTATGAGATTGGAAGCCCTTTGAGCCCAAAGATGGTTGTGAATTTATTGCTTCCTGAGTCGCAGGAGTGCACTACAGCACCTGAGTCTATAAATATTCTGGGGAGTGGGCTTTCTAATCTCTTCTACTAAAAGGCTTCTTTTTTTAGAATAAATATCTATTCATTAGAGTAAGGATCTGACTGTAACCCACCAAGGTTAAGGTTAAATTAAAAGTCAGCAGTCTGAGTAAAGTCAGCAGTCTGTACAATAAATCTGTATTTCTTACTCTCCCACTTTCTCTGTTTCGCTTTTTAAAATATAAGAGTTTTAACTGATGTGACTGAGAAAATCTTTCCTTAATATACCCTCTTGGTACTAAAGCAGAGGTTTCACCATGATGTGATTCAAGTCTTCTCTCACAGCAGGATTTCTCAATTCCCAATGTGTTTTTTATTATAAGACTTTAAATAAAATTGGAAAAATATTTGATGAATGTTACAAGCTATTTTTGAGAGATCTTTGCTCTGATCATTGTGGTCTGAGAATGCTTATAAAAAAACAGGTGGAACATTGACTGAAAATCCATTCGTGGATTATGGGTTGAGCAACAGGGTGACAATACGATCTAAGTAGTTTTGCTCATGCCCACTAGCATAAAATTAGGTATTTAGAAGATTAGACCGCACCTGATCATATATTTGGAAGAAGCTTAATGAAACTTATGATTTGCAGTGCTTTGCAGAGGTATGTATTTATATACTAAATGAAATTAAACGTTTTAGTAGATCTGCAGACTTGGCATTCTGAGAGGTTGCAACATTGGCTGAGGTTGGCAACAGCTTCACATTACTTAAACTGTAGTATCTAACTGAGTATCCAAGATGAAAAGAAAAAAAAAAAACCTTCTCTGCTTTGTTTTGAGTTCAGGTTTGGAAGATGACTTCCATAAACTTAAGTTCAGAGAAAGAATAAAACTAAATGTACTTGACTACCATTTCTCTTTTAAGATCATCAGACAATGTCTTTCTTTCTAGATATAGAAAAAATGCAATATGTTTTCATAATTCTCTGTTCTCCAGTGCATTAAAAATCTTATTTAAATGCCAAAACACATGAAGGTCTTTTTTTATTATTATTGCTGTTTACTATGAAATGCTTTGACCGTATGCTGTCAAGAAGAGTCACTTCAGATATCCCTTTCAGTTTAATCTCCAACCTCTGAGAAGAAAGTACATACTAGAAACCCTGACAGCTCTTTAACCAAATAAACTTTTAAATTTATATTATTAGCCCGCTGTACATTATCCTGTAAAAAGCTTTCTTTTACCTTTACGCTATTAAGCTGTATATACATCCTAGGCCTTTATTAAATAGACAATGAAACTGAATGATTTCAGAAGTAAATTAATGTTTCTTCTGTACAACAGTACTGAAAAACACTGCTTTTTCAATTACTTGGAAAAAATACAGTATTTTCCTCTAAATAATTGTTCTTGACAAGTTAGATTAGAATTTGCCATCAAATTCAAAAGCTACTGGGAAGGGACTGATAGGAATACAAGAATACAATGCAGAAACAACTGACAGACTAGAAAGACTATTACTAATTCTTGCTATTTAAAAATTAGCTCCTAAAAAGTAATGGTGAGCAGATCTACTGACCTGTTACAGTTAAAGTAATACACTGAATTAGATACATCTGTGATTTCTACTTTTTCCAAAAACCAGCCACTTGCTGTAGAAGAAAAAATGAGCAAATTTAATATAATCAAAACACATATAAGGCGCAAGAAAGGCTTTTGATTTCATTTCCAAGTCTGAGTGATTCAGTACTTTCAAATGTATTCAATATCAATAATAAAACTGAAATGTAGATAATTCAAATTACTACCAACATTCCTCTGTTTTATAGAGAAGGTCTTTGATGTTTTTGACAGAAAATATAAAGGTAGATTTTTATTACAACTTAACATATTTTTTCACATTGAAAAGAACAGGTAGTAAGATAAATGAAACAGAGTACATGGTAATAATGAATGCATTCTTGCTTTTTTCTGTCTGAAATGTGCTCAAAATGTATCCCTAATGTGCTTTCATTTTCTGTGTCCATTAAATAAATTAAAAACAGATAGAATTTATCATTAGATATAATTTCTTTAATCACAGTCCGAGCCTTAAACAATAGGAAAACAGAACTTCACAGAATCACAAAGAGGTTAAGGTTGGAAGGGACTTCTACAGATCATCTAGTCCAACCCCCCTGCTCCAGCAGGGACACCCAGAGCATGGGGCACAGGGTGGCATCCAGGCAGGTTTGAAGCTCTCCAGAGAAGGAGACTCCACAGCCTCTCTGGGCAGCCTGTTCCAGGGCTCTGTCACCTTCACAGTAAAGAAGTTCTTCCTCACATGGAAATAGAACTTCCCATCTTCAGCTTGCACCCATTACCCCTTGTCCTGTCACTGGCCACCACTGAGAAGAGTTTCGTCCCATCTTCCCTACATTCTCCCCTCAGGTACTTGTACATATTGATCAGATCTCCTCTCAATCTTCTCTTCTCTAGGCTAAACAGGCCCAGCTCACTTAGTCTTTCCTCATATGATAGATGCTTCAGCTCCTTAATCATCTTTGTTGCTCTGCACTGGATCCTCTCTAGAAGCTCCACAACCCTCTTGTATTGGGGAGCCCAGAACTGCACCCAATACTCCAGGTTTCGGCCTCACCAGAGCTGAGGAGAGGGGCAGGATCCCCTCCCTCGACCTGCTGGCAACGCTCCTCCTCATGCAGGCCAGAACCCCATGGGCCTTCTTGGGCACGAGGGCACATTGCTGCCTCATGGTTAACTTCTTGTCAACCAGGACTCCCAAATCCCTCTCCGTGGAGCTGCTTTCCAGCAGGTCAACCCCTAATCTGTACTGTAACTTCTATTCCTTCTTTTTATTTAGTGCATTTACACTTATGTTAAATGAAGTGGTGAATTTGAGCATTTTTCATATCCACATTTCTCTGGCAATAGGGAATCAGAGAGGCACCCAATGTAGGCCAAAACTCATATCTGCTTCTGTTTTAAGCAGGTGTTTAATATTCTACTACAGTCCACTATATTGCTATGTGGGAAAAAATACCGTCCTTCTTGTGCTGTAACATTTTCTTTTCATTAATATTAATATAAGAAATTTTTTAAAATTAAATTTTATTATCTGTAAATACTATGTTTTTGCTTGTGTCTTTTGTTGTGTTTGCCACGGGAAATATTTAGTGTCAACACTTAAAAACTAATAAGGAGAATATTGTTAGTAGGTTAAAACCTTTTCGTATTCTTTGTGTGTCTTAGAGATAAAACAATATATTGTAACAAGTTATTAAGGTTTTCAGATACTTGGACAAAGTATTAAGTAGACTAAAATATAACAGAAAATATGTTGTAAATTCTGCCAATATATATGTAATTTAAAGGCATAACAATGTTTCTCACTTTTCATGAACATTTTCAAACAATTATTTAGTAAAACTAGAAAAAAACGTATAAAGGTGTCTACATTTTTCATCTTCAATTCCCCAGAGCCATTTATTGAAACTGTGAACTCCTTTAATGAAATCTTGTGAGTGGTTTAATATATCATAGACTCTACTTGGAATATATGACCTTTCATGAAATATCTGTAACTTAGAGTCAAGGTTATTAGCAATAAAAATTTACAGTCTCTCAAATTTACTCAGCACTCTACAAATAAATATTAAGGCCTGTTTGCTCTCCTGAAAAGTTTATAATCTAATATTTTATCCTTTATAGATAAAACTCCAGAAGTACTCACTGAGAGTTCCAGGTATGGAGAAATCTAGAGTCAATAAGGAAAGATTAGGAAACAGATGAAACACTTAGAGCAGGTGTTGCATTCAAGGATGCCTGTGAGCATTACAACTGATGTGACAGAAGACATTTGGAGACAATTTCAGAGCCAAATTTAGAGGAAACAAATCCTAGATGTGAGATGGATCAACACACACCAGCTGTGCTAGGAAAGCAGTGCTAACAACTGTGTTGATCAGAAGACAGAGAAGAGAAATAATCACACTGTCAATGGTTTCGGGCCCAAGAAATTCAAGTTCAGTCTGTGTCTCTGTCCCTGCAGACTTCTGTGCAACTCCCCAAGCACCAGAAGTCTGATTGTGTAGAGCTCCTTTCCAGACCCGCTCTAAGCTGAATTGTGTGATGTACAGCAGCTAACACTATTAAGAGGAAAACAAGTAGGAGGATTTTACTTAGTGTAAGTATCCTCCAGAATTACCCACTACCTACAGATCAAGACTCTAAACAAATCAAATTTTTCTGGTATACCTTCTCTTAATATTCAAATCTCCTTTGAAAACTCAGTCCTACGTAATTGAACATATTTAATAGGTTTTTTAGCTGAGCAGTGACTGAAGCATCATACCCCTGGAGGTATAGACTGAGAAGTTCTCTCTTAGCAAAAAAATGTGAAGATAATTCAAGGGAAATGTGACAGAACCAGAGGTGGTTAAGTAAGGACAGTTAAACTGACTTCATCGGTATAAAGATTTGTATTAGCTAGCTGTAGCAGTAGCATGACTTTAAAAGCCTTTCCAAATGTCAGACAGATGTTCAGGCAGGAGATTTTTAAAAGCCTGTTGAACGTATGTATACTTACCGAATCCTTTCCCATCATGACCAATTTCAATTGAATGAAGGCTTCCTATTTTTTTTGTCATAATCTTGAATGTATCAACCTGTAAAATTAAAACATGGGCAATTATTAAAAATAATATATCAGAATCTGGAAAATTGTACATTTGCTTATCTAAGTTTTGAGACTAATTGATATGAATTCAGGATAACTGACTGACTGACACTTAATATGTTTTATTTTCCTTACTGAAGATATCTGGTATAGATTGTCTCCTACTAGGTGAACTACAGATTAAACATGAGAGATTCACTTTTTATTTTATAGTAGATCAATTCTTGGCTTTCACAGACCAGAAAAATATTTTTGTTCAGTATCTTATCAACTTTCAACTGATAAATGAAGCCTTCAACATTTTTTTTCAGTTTATGATACATAAATATACCTTTATGAATGCAAAAGCTAGAAGTTTTTACTGTATGTACCATTCCATCTCTCAAATACTGTATACAGTACTAAGCAAGGCACCCTCCTACTTGCTTCTTGAGCCTATAAGTAACAATTTTCATTAACCTTCTCAATATGGCAGACACTACATGCGTAAAGGTATATTAGAAAACATTCACAGACACCTTGGCTGAAGAAACTCAGACAACTGCAAGTAAAGAGATACTTTGTACTGCTGGAGATAATGAGTTAGGTCTCGTAAGGAAGATATCTTAACTAGAGTTTTAATTATTCAGTCATTAACTTTCAGGAAAACCACAGGAGAAAGATATGGGAAATATATTTATTTATTGCTACACAAGGGTAACCATCATTATACTTCATCACACAGTGATGAAAAAATGGAACAAATCCTTTGCCAAGGAAATATGTTTATTAAAAACAGGAGAACATTCTGCTAAGGTACCAGGACATCATAAAGAGAATCAGCACTCATACGCAAGTATCTGTATCTGAACTAAGGATCTCTGAATAGCTTAAAGCATGATGGACATCAAAACCAGGTAGGTGTCTAGGATTCCATTTTCTCTGGGTATTAGCTGAGGAATGCTTTCAGTATCAGTTTTCAAGGTGAAGTAAAATTGTGGGATACAACAAACTGGTGTATTTTTAACACAAGCATAATATTCAAAGTTTGTGCAACAACAAGAAATGTTGCACATGCATTTACATGCACAGGAATAAATGCTTTGAATTCAGGACTGAGGAATCTCATAACTACGTAGAGGAGTAGATGCAGTATGGAGATGTGTTTGAGACAGAGAATAAGAGAGTCAGCTAGACATAACAGAGATAAAATATTCCTTGGTTACTCTGGTAAAACAATGGAATGCAGAGATATTTGAGATGATATCTCATTAAATTATGTGGAAAATTAGAAAAAATATCTGAGGTCCTAGAAAGATCTTGCCCTTGCATAAGGTATAAGTTCCCAACTCAGAAACGAACATATTCTATAAAATCTATGTCCTCACCCTTCCTCTTTCAAAGGGATCTTGATGCTCCAGTGACTGGGAGAGCTGAAATACTTCAGATTTGTCTTCATTCCCAAATAAAATAATATGCACATTGGCATCCGTTCCTGCTCCCCTTTTGTCACCTGTGTACACTTTAATAGTATACTCTGCCAGATTTCCTGGTTGACCTCCTTCTATATGTGAGTTGTTATCTATGCCATTCTTCCTTTTGTCTCTTTTAATAACAAAAGATACTGGTATTTCTTTCTGTATTCCAGGGTTATTTGCATCCACAGAAAATGCTCTGCAAAACAAAATGACATGTATTTTGATGCTAACTAAACTACGTGTTCAAACAAACAAAGTCATTTTATATACATAAAAATGTATATGGGACATTTAAAGACGGGCATATTTTTTAAAAAAAACAATTGAATGATCACTTTGTGACAACGTCATTTTAATCTAGCTCAGTGTTTTCAACAATCATACTATCAAGTGACTAGCTTTATATGCAATACGTACTCATTCACTTCAAATACATAAATAGGATCCTCCTTTAGAGCTTCCTTTAAATGCAATTTTTTAACATCCAGTTTGCAATCTACAAACAAGTAAATAAAGCATAATGAAAATGTTGTACAGAATATCCAGGAATTAGATAAAATGTGATGATAATATAGTGATGTTATATTATTTGTTATATTAAAACATCATATATTAATCCACTGATGTATAGCAACAATTGACTTTAAAATCTTGGCATCATTATAACGTTCCTTATTTTGTTCCTATTTTAATTTCCTACTTAGAAATTTAGAAGTAACCACTTGCTTATTCAGTAAGGCAAAGTAGTGATGTTTTCACCAGCTGTGGACAGGCATGTACATCAGATTCATCATGGTTCAGAAAGGCATTTTAGAGGACGAAGAGCAGATTATGTATCTGGTGCTCTCTCCTCAGTGACTGGTTGACAAGGAGGTTGGAGCTAAGACTCCTTTTCACATGCAGCACAAAGAAGACTTGACTGAGTAAAGAGTATGAAGGATGTGTAGCAACATAATGCACACCTCTCCTTCACTAGAGACAGCTTGCTGAGTTACATCTCCCTTTGAATCTTGTCCTGGGAACTCCACCTACATTTGGACTATTCTTTTTGCCCTCTCCTCTTTTATTTGCCCCTTTTTTCAGCAAAGTGTACCCCAATGCCTAGGGATATCAAGCACTGTTGGAATCCATATTGCTTTAACTATATCAGTAAGAGTTTAATTTAACCTCACACTCTGGGGAAGGAATCCCTTCTATTCCTTCACTCCCTTCTACTCAGATGCTAATTTCACACAATCTTGAGCTATGCATGTCTGACATATATACAATTTTTTTCAAATTTGGTTGAAATTTTGTGGTGAGTTTAAAAGTTTATTATGATAAGAAGATAGATAGGCAGATAAGAAAGACAAAAAAGTGCAAAAAGTTCAAACATGTAAGCCTTGTTTTCTTAGAAAAACATCTGAAAATGGTCAAAGGTACTACACACTAAGTAACATGTTGCAATCATACAGCAAATTTCATTTCAGGACATCAAAAGACTTTCAGATAATTAATATTTAGAATATTTCTGAGCAGCATTGTAGCCATCATACAGATGAGTCAAGGAGAAGCTCAGTTATGTCTGTTTTAATGGAATTCTGTAGCAAAACTAACATTTGTCTAATAGGGGTAAAATCCCCCTCAAAATCTTTGAGTGAGAGAATAAAAATGAAACATTACCAGTTTCTTACATGAGTTATGATTATTCTCCTGAATCATATCCTAATAATGGAATACAATCACTAGTCTTAATTTTTCTGTTTCTCTTTTTTATATGGGAAAGTAGTTTCCTTTCTTGATGCAATAATTATAAAGTCTTTAGATGCAGGAGTTTTAATGTGACAGAATTCAGGCATTTTCTTTATAAAATATTATCTTTTAACAACAATGAAAAAAAAAGTCAAAGAAAATTAAATGGGATTTATCTCTGGCAGCAACTGCATCACCTTTAACATAAAGTTTGATCTGTGATTTCACATCATGAACTTATTCAGAGAGTTAGCAAAAGTAGTTTACCTGCTTTACTGCTGATTAGAAGAATGACTTTGTCCAGTTCTCCCAGCTCAACAGCATCGATGGCAACTACAAATGACTGAAATAAAATTATTTAGTATTAAATTCATAAGCTACATTAAATGAATATAGGAAGATTTGGAAAAAATGTATATGAAGCACAAGAATGAAATAAAGGATATACGTTAAAGTGCCTTAAGAAAAAATACCTCACTGTCCTCTCCCTGATGGACATTCTCCAATGACCAGAGAAGGGATCTGTCCCCTGTATCTCCATGAGTTCCATACACACATATGGTCATATGCACTACATTTCTCTTGGTCAGAATATTTCTAGAAAATACTGTTATATGATACGTAACCACTGCAATATCAAAAGGAAAAATATCTTGTTATTATCATGTCACTACCTTTCATAGCTATTTGATAATGCACAATGTACAGATGGAATTAAACAGTGACAGAAAAATTCAAATTGTTTCCAAATTTTTGCTTGACAGTGAGGGTGACGGAGCACTGGAACAGGCTGCCCAGAGAGGTTGTGGAGTCTCCTTCTCTGGAGATCTTCAAAACCCGCTTGGATGCAGTCCTGTGCCAGGTGCTCTAGGTGACCCTGTGTGTGCAGGGGGGTTGGACTAGATGATCTCTAGAGGTCCCTTCCAACCTTAACAATTCTATGATTCTATGCTTTGCCACAGTCCCCCAGATCTCAAAGCAGGACTAGGGTCCATCCAGGTAGCCCAGTCAAGAGCAGAGGGAGATGGGGCTAGAGACTGGAAACAAGGCCACAACATAGATCCAAAGCCCATCCAGGAGTCAGGGTCAGAGACAAGCCTAAGGGCAGGTGCACCTGCAGAGTAGCTCTGGCAGGGACTAAAGGCCCAGGACTGATTTTAAAAGGAGCCCAGGGACTCATAGGCAGAAAGCGAGTGGATGAAGGTCTCAAAAGGTGAGTGGATGCCCCAGGTGAGACCCAATGTGCACTCACAGCCGTTGCACACTGTAGCCAGCTAGAGTTTGAGTCGAATGAACGCTGGTGTATTCCATAGGCAGACCTGTCAGAATACACTGCACAAAGAGCAGCAATTGAAGCAGTCTGACGCAGGTAAGGGAAGAGGACTGAAATGCTTCAATGGTGGCCTGTGGACAGGTGGTGGGGTCACACCACCATAGCTGTGGGCAAAGATTTTATCTCTGCAGAGTGTTTAGTAGATTGGAGAAGAGACATATGAAGGGAAACATCTTAAAAGAAGTGCCACGATAAGTATAATACATATATGAATTCTATAATTCAATTAATTTTATAAAATCCTAATGATTGCATAATATCAGTGTGGCTCTTCTATTCATTCTTTTTTAACTTCTGTGGAAATGATCAGATATTTGAAAGCAGCACAATGTATTTTCATTAAACCTTTTCACTGTTTCATTGTCTTGCCTTTAAAGCTACAGTAATGCAAAAATTATCTTCAATCCAAGCCTGTGTGTGAGAAAAAGAGCACTGATTCCTCCCTAGGGGATCTCTGAAGTGTAAGCACCTCAGAGGAAGGTTTTGTGAAGAGAAACTGATGATGTATATACTCAGCTGGAGACCTCTCCCTGTTAATACACCCAAAGGCACACATGGACTGGTACACAATCAGATCTCTGGGGTCTGCACTGTATTTTATCAGATGTATTTTGATGGTGCCAATTAGCCGCTAGTATATGATTCATTGCAATGCCAAGTGCAAGATCAAAAAAATAATAATAAAAAAAAAACTAAGAGATGAAATACTGGTATGCTATAAATGATACAGAGCTGAGATGTTTCTGAAATTTAACAGCAAACGTCTTCTGTTAAAGGTGATTATTATCAGCTGCTTTCCATTCCAATTAACACAATACTGCTTTTGCTTTTAGTTGAGAAGAAGAAAACCAAGGAGATAATTAACCTTAAAAAGCTGACGGAGAAGCAAAGTTGTTTTGCACAATAAATTGGAAGTAACTCTGTGCATTCAGGATCACTTTGAACTCCGTGCATGCCACCTATTGTGGCACCTGCTTCAAGCTCTCTTGGACATGAAATGGCAAAGATTTGGGGGAACATGTTTCAGATTGCCCTAGTTCTTTTGTTTGCTGTGATTACAAAATGTAGTTACAAATCCATTCTTGAAGACTTCTAAAACACAAATGGAAACAAGTGAGTGCAAGAGATGAGTTTTGTTGTTTGCTTTTTAACCTAAACACATAGGGTAATATAATAGACATTCTTTACTTGGTGACTTCTACCTCTCAATCTGAAAATGTTTTACAAACAAGGAAAATTTACCACCAGAAAAGATCAAAGAATGCAGAAATGTTTTTTTTTTTTTTTTTTTTTTAAAGTGGGAGTCTAAAGTAGGAGCAAGAGTCTAAACCAAGGTCATCAGAGTTGCAGCCTAAGTGTCTCTTTGTCATCTTCACTGCATCATTCTCTTACTGTGTGCATGTACTTGTGCCCATAAATATATCTGCATGTAACTACAATCAGCCTTTTGATTCTGTGGAGACTGCTTGTGTGTTTATGTTTAGAGACATGTAAATACTTCCCTGAAACTGGGTCATAAGTTTTGATCTAAAGCTTATTGAGGCAGCTGATTTAACACCCACATCAGAACATTTTGGTTGAACTGACTTATTCTTTACCCAAGTAACTTCCTTATTTTTCTGCATAAAACTCAGGCACAAATTATTTTAGTATTAAGTATCATAATTTGACATTTTTATTAAATTTAGAATTGTTATGTCAAAGAATAATATTTTTTATATTGTAGAATATCATGGAAGTGCGGTTGATGTTAGCTGATAGGGTTTCTTTCATTTTGCTTAGGATGGCATTTACAAGACAATCATTAACCTAATTTTAACAGCCAAGTATTTGGAGTGTATGCGTGTAATAAAAAATATTCTGTTTATGTCATTTTGAGCTAATTTTAGAGAGAATATTTGTTTGGAAAGTGAAAACAAAAACATTATCTGATAGAAAATGAGTTATGAAAAATTACACAGTTAATGTCAGTAAATATGAGCAGCTAGGGACTAAACAAAGAAGAACATAAATATTACAATATTACAAGAAAGGAATATTTCTTAACATTATTCAATGTAGCTTGTAATAATGGCTGTGTGCAATCAAATGAATATTGCATTTCACACTTTATGGTACAGAAATTAAGCTGAGTAGGCACTTCTTTCCCTCATACATTTTAAATTCTTATTCAGAATTTATGAATCATTAAATAAAGACAATAAAATTTTCTGTTTTGATAAAGGTTTCCGTTGTAATATTAGGACAAGTTAACCTCTTGGACCATTCAGCTACCCTAGTGTAGATTTATACTTACCGGAAAGTGCTTCTTTTAATGGCCATTCTACAGGGAATTCGATCCATCTGTCTCCATTAAGAGAAAGAGGAAGAGTTTTATTTATAGTGAGACTGAAGGTATCCAGGGTTGATGTGTTCTGCATTTTAAAATGATGAAAAGACAACTGGGATATGCTGTTTTCCAAACTCTGAAGTCCAAGTCTGACTTTATAAAGCATTCCCAAATCATTTGGTAAATGTATCTAGGAAGCAATAAAACAAGAATTTGACATCCTGACAGTAATATACAGATATATGCATAGCTACTCTATAGGAGGGGAAGAAGCTTTGTAAAAAGTACTGACTTAGGTCTGTTCACATTAATCCTTGTGCTAAAACTCCCACTAAGTTCAAAAGCAGCAGAACTGGGTTGAATGTAAGCACTCTTGGAAATACTTGTTTTGTACTCGAGGCATTCATTGTAATTATCCTATCAAATTTAAATTACATTCTGCACTGACTTCTAAATGTGAATACTTAATGCTATTTAAATTGATATGTATTATTAACTATGATTATTTGCTGACAAAAAAAAAGAATATATTTGATCAATACAACCTTGATAAAGCCAAATATTAAAAATGAATCTGGTATGCAACTGAAGGTTCTACTTCTGCTTTTCTTGAATATTTAAGGAATAACATTTGCAAAATTTATAGCACATACACAATGATCTCTCTTTAAAAGGGAACTCAAAGAAAATGTAAATATAGTCAAATCTATATATTATTTTACATCATATGCTACTTGGTTTTTAGCTTGATGTTCCACTTTGTTTCCCATGGAAACTGGATCTGACTTGCCGTTGCTTCCATAAAAAAACATAACCAACTTGGAAATATTTTCTGTCAACTTTTCAAAGTCTTTTCTTGTTTCTTCTTCATGTTTTGTGAAATAAATCCTCCATCTGCCTTCTGAACAAAGAGAGTATAGAAAATAAAAAGGAAAAATGATTAAAAGATGTCCCTGATTTCATATGTTAATGAAGGTACCTGAGATAAAATTCATAAGACATGTATCTTAGTCTACACAGATAATATTATGTGTAAGTGAGTGCTTATGTACTAATCTTATGCTTACTTCTTTTGGGTTCTGCTCAGCCCCCTAAGTATTTTTAAGTTTTTACTGCTAGATAGGAGAAAATACCACCAATACCAGCAAGTGTAATGACACAGTGTGTTGAAAATATCCCCACATCATTATTTTAGAACTGATGAATGAGAAGTTGAGGAAATGGCAGAAGCTTTACCTGATCTTATTTGTTCTTTTCCTAAAGGCCAGACAGCAGTGCTCCTCCTCTCCTGAATTTCTATTTTTAAAAAAAAGACTAAATGAATACTTTACAAAACAGTATCTAAATTATAATGAATGTCTGTATTCATCTATGGTGAGGCAATTGACTGAGTACTATGTAATTTAGACTGAAGATTTAACTAGGAAGTGTTGAGCATGATTTTTTACTTAGGCATCATCTTCTATATACCATTCTATTTAATGAACTGACTCTAGAGAGACTCCATACTACGAAATGTTTGTTTTTCATCTCAAAGCATTTCTGGTTCATTTGTCCAACTTGTACTCTGGATGAGTTGATATTTTTAATCCCCTTTTTAGGGGATGATATTCCTACCACTAATATCAGATCCCATTGATTTCCAAAACTTTTCTAAATATTGGAAGAAGAGGACTGACCACAGATTGAAAGCTTTCTACTGAATTTACAATTAAATTTGAATTTTCCAATTATAATGGAAAAAGACCCCACATATTCTTCAACTATATTAACGATGCTTTCTGGTCAAAACAATAACTTTTCTTTTTTTCTTTTTGAGTAAAAACATGTTATATAGCCTTCTATACATTAAATATTCTTATGTTTTGAGTGTGCCATCCTACAATGTAAAACAAAGCTCAAATTACTTGTTTCTGTGCAAGTAACAGCTTCAAAATAAAGGAAATTTCAAGGGTAATCAATTTAGTGTCTATAAGCTATCTTTTTGACAAACATCATCATGTCAGCGCAGCTACAGCAAACAAAGCTCTGGGTACCAGGAGGAAAAGTCAAGTATTTGTTGTAATCTAAGGGCCCATGTAAACTGCCTGTTGACAGTCATAGTGGGCTTTGAGTGCGTGCTCTTCAGATTGGAGAATGCTACACTTCCATCCTGGGCTGCACACCAGATTTCCTTTATATTGAAACCCTGGTGCCAGAAAGGGGAATCCTATTAATCTTGTTATTAGGCCCATTTATCTTTGAAGATAGGCACAGACAGAGCCCAAACAGCTTTTCTGTGGACTGTTACCTACAGGGTTCCCAAATGGTGTTCCCATCTAGCTTCTAGCAAAAGTTATCCTAAAGTTATGACACAAAAAATATTAAATAGTTGTCTTGAATGCAGCTGGAACATTTTCTCTGTTTCTTGAACATAGTTTGTCCTACTATTTATCTCACTTTCACTAAGCTAGTGAGTAGCAGCTAGAAGTATTTAAACTTAAAAAAAATATTTGCAATGGTATTCAAAATAGTTTTTTGTCACAAGTGACAACACAGAAGTAAGACTCAGAAGGACAGCAACTCATAAAGAGAATAACCTATTTTTTACCATTTATGCCACTGTAAATCTGGAGTAACAAAACAGAAGTTTTAAATAGTACCAAAAACAACAGTGTTCAGAGACATTAATTCCGTTTATAATAACAATGTTCTATTGGAATATTTTAAACTATAACCTGTTTACAGACGAAAATCACATAGCTTCATTCTGCAGTTTGGAATGGATTTCTTAGTGAAGGATAATTTGAAAATAATACTGACCTGTGGCATTTAGAGTTACTGAAGCGGGTCTTTTTCCATCCCCTTTGTCTTTTAGCCATGTTTGAGCCACAAACAGTGTTTCTGTCCCTGAAATTACTGACTCTTTCACAATAATCTTCTCCAGGAACCAGTCAGAGCCTTTCCCTTTTTCAACAACCATCCCTTGCAGAGTCCCAAGATCTACCGCTTCCACTTGGAAAACATCTACCTGAAAAGTTTGGAATCAAAAAGACATGCCTATCGAACAGAAGCATGAAACTAAATTAACTGTGTATTTTGAAATATAAAAATGAGTAAAATCAGGATTTTTTAATTAATTCAATAAATACCAACAGTAGCAGAGATTACACATTTAAAGAAGCTGAACTCCTGTATTAAGCAGAAGTCCCTTTGTGGTTTTGTAATTTACTGTTAAAACTGCTATTCCCTACA